TTCTATTATTATTATTATTATTATTTCTATTATTATTATTATTATTATTATTATTATTTGGTCTTTGTCGCAGAGTTTATCTCTGATCTCTAAGAGGCAATGTAGGCCTATCTCAATCAAAGCTCGTGTTCATTTAAGTGAATGCGCACAATTCTACAAGTTTCCAGAATCATAGATTCTTGGGGTTTTAGGAATTATTACATTAGGGTTCAGGTCAATTGTTTTCAAGTATTTCTTAAAATGTTTGTTGATCAAACCAGTTCCTGTGATTACTATAGGGTATATGTTCACTGAATTAAGTTTATACATTTCTTTATATTCTAATGCAAGAGGGGTCTATTTACTTTTTTTTAGATTCTGCTTTATTAATATTATGATCGGCCGGTGACAACACACTCATCTGTGTGAATTAGAGTTTCGTAAAACAGTTTGTAATGTTAGTTTTCCATTCTAGGTCTAGCTCCATGTTCATATTATGGTATAGGTGTTGTGGTGAGTTATCGTTCACATAACTTCATATTATGGGCAAGTCTTTTTGTCTGAGAGAAGTTCGAGTTTTAATGCTAAGGCCTGGTGAAAAATGATTGTAGTGAGATTGACGATGAAGATATTCTGGATTGGCCATATTTGTACATGCTGTTATAATATAATCATTTTTTTCGATGACTGGTGGCATATCCTGCATTCATCTTGGATGTCTTGTTTTTCTATGTAATTCTGTGTTATTTGTTGCAATAACTTGGTCTTGAATAATATGGGTAAAGCCTTTAGTTTCTCCAACCAGAAACCCATCTCTGAACCAACGCGTTGATGCGTCTATATCACCACAGTGGAGAGAATGAGGAAATCTACCATTGAGAGCTTCAGATTTCCATGCATGTATCCTTTTATTAGGTATGATGTGATTGTGATAGGTACTTCGTCGTCAAGATTTAGAGAGTAACCATTGTCGGACACAACCATGACTAATGTCTCAGACCTAGCTAAAAATACTTCCTCGCTGTCGTCTGCCTATTGCAAAGAGATATCAGATCCAAAAGGCCTCGCCCACTTTCTCATCTCGGGATGTAGAGCCGCTCCACAGACGATTTACGTTGGCACATTCTGTACTTTGATAATGTTGTTCGCACTATGTGGTCGAGGTTTGCAAGATCGGTAGGTGACCAGTGTATTACCCCAAAATAATACGTAAGGATTGACACAAACCGAAAATTAATGACCTTGATCTTCGTTTTGGCAATTAGCTCCGTTTTCAAAACGTTTCGGAGACGGAATTTGAACATTTTTTCAACATATTGTTTGGTGGATTTGTGATTTAATGTAGGCGCGGATTCTCAGGGAGGGAAATAAGGGAAACTTTGCCCCCTAAAATTTTTCAGTAACTATTAATTTTAACTTGCCACGAAACTTTCAAGCTAAAATATTTTCGGATAATCGGATGCGTTGAAATCTCATTTGCGTTGAAGCCTAGCATGAATTCGTAGTCTGAGTCTAGTATTTTAACGCAATTTTGTAGCGTTTTTTTCATAAATATGTCGATTTCCATCATTAATCCAAAATTAATTGGTTTGATGGTTCATACTTAATGCGCTGCCGTACCGTTAATCTGATTGCGAGAAAAGTTTGTCAACTTATTGCTGGCACTTCCAGGAAGAATATAGTCGTAGTACGATGGGAATGTGAATATGTCTACGCACATAGACGCCTGTTGATTATTTTATAGAGACTCAAGGCTCTGATCTTTACACAACGGTGCTTTCCACGCAACCCGTTTCACACTGAAGTACTATTATTAAGACGTCTTCATTGCGTATTCTATCCCTGCGATTGGGAAATTTCTCCCGGGAGAGATGGAGAGAGAGAGAGAGAGAGAGAGAGAGAGACAGACAGACAGACAGACAGACAGACAGACAGACAGAGGCAGACAGAGACGCAGAGAGAGAAAAAACAGAAACAGTTAGAAAACGAGAGACAGAGAGAGACGTAAAGCCACGGAAAGGGACCACACCCGCGAGAAAGTCTTTCGTCTATTGAAATGTTTGCATAGCGTAGCTTAAAACATGATTAACAATCACGTGACCAGTGGCATGTGAAGTGCATTTCATTGCATCCCAAAGCTTTGCCGGGGCCAGTAGTAAATGGGTAATTCCATGCGAACTCAGCACGACATGACACCCGACCATCTCAGATTTTTAAAAACTATTATTACTTTTTTAAAATTTGTTGTGGAAAACCGATATCCAAAGTTTCAGCCCTCTACGATAATTATTTTCTGTTTTACAAGTGCTATATTTTCTTAATGGATAAGGTGTGATTTTAGACATACCTAACTTGTTTTAAACATATATATATAACACATATGGGAATAGGTGTTCCGTTAAGTTATTTTTACGTTATGTTACTATTAATTAAACTCCTCTCCCACTACTGACAGAGTCCTCAATTTGCTGTGGTCTTTATCTGTACCTGAAGATAAATTGCGTCGTGTAATGTGCCGTTTAATTAGGGCACTAAAAAAGAAATTGCTGTCAAATGTATGGCAACCGCGCCAGAAAGACTGTGGTTTCTCCTCGGTGATTTGCCCCAGAAGTGGTAGCGTGCCATCAACAAAAACTAGTTCGTGTACTCTAATTATGACTTCCATTAGATGTATTACCGTCGGCAGAGTAAAAACTTCCTCGGAAAGTATTTTATTCGGCAACGCTTCTCTGTAAAGTAGATGAATCTGGTTCAGGCCGGGTCAAGTGGATCGTGCATAGTAAAGTAATCACGATTTGTACCCTAATTACCGAGGAGGAAAAAGCAGAAACAAGATAAGAGATATTTTGAGGCGTTATAACGCGAAGATGAAGGCAGGATGTCGTTTAACCGAATGTGTACGAAATACTTCTGCAATCGCTTTTCTGAAGGTGAGAATCTTAGTACTTGAAGATGCTGAGAAAACATTAATTTCGATTCCACCGAAATCGCATAATTCATTATTTAGGGAAATAAACAAATTTTAAGGTTTGGCATTTCTTTAAAATAGACATTTCCCGCAATTCTAAACAGAAATAGAATTTCTCATGAATGCAAAGCCTACAAAAGTACGTAAGATGGTAAAAAGGGTATTAAAACGTACTCACACTGATAATATCACAATTGAGCTGTCATTGTTCTGTTCTCCCTCTCCCACTCCTCTCCCTCTCTCTTATATATGTGTGTGTG